TTTCTGCAGGTAGATATCCATTTTTTCCAGCACCACTTGTTAAATAGGGCATCACCTTCCCATTTGATATTTTTGGGGCCCTTATCGAAGATCAGCTCTTACAACTCTTATAACAGTCCATAAATCAGTTGTATCAGGCATAATTGTACATATGTTGCCATCATTCTTTTCTAGACATTTACTTTCTATTGAGCCCCTGGTATCAGCTCCCCCCTCTCCCCTGCTGTGAACCCTTGATAGATTATAAATTACTCAAGTTAATGTTTCATCCTGCAACTCAACTTCGGAGCAAGCACAATGATTTGTCATCCTGTTTCTTAGTGAAGTCTGATTTGGATGGTGAGAAGTCCTTTCAGGCTGTCTGCTTATGTGCTTTGGTCCATGGTGACTATCAGTGCATATCATCTAGGACTGAAAAGGGCCAGTGAGTTGAAGACGTTAATTTATATCTGGGTCGTGCTGGGTTTGCCCCATGTGCTATGTACAGTCTTCCAGTTTCAGTTGGTGGGCGTTAAGATAAATAATTTAGAAACAGCTTTCTATTTAAAGATAAATACTCTTAATTTCTTCTTAATTACAGAGTAAAGAGATTGCATTCCAACTTCATGAGGATTTAATGAAGGTTCTTAATGAGCTTTATACGGTAAGCACACAATCTTTTCTTCTTTTGCAAGAACCCTGCTTCAGAATCCTGATTTGTGAAGTTACTGCTCTTACTAGAACATACTCCACGTCTGTACTAATGGTTGCTGCTCTGGTTTAGATAGGAGACAAGTGGGTGAATGCATCCTATTAGATTGCCTTGCCTTCCCCTCCCAATTTGCGGAGATCTGCTTTCAAAATTATAGGTGTGCCAGTATTACATGTTTTCAATAGGTTGGATCATACGTTAACTTTTCATAAATTAAATTCCAGAATATTTTGTTTTAAACGGTTGTTAGCTTTTTTCTGGGACTTGAACAATTGAGAATTGCTCTATTCTGGCACTTTCATTTCTTTTTCTTTCCATTCAGTTAATTTAGTGACAATGTCATGTTAAATTTACATATATGTGGAGTACCTATTTTCCCTTTTTAGTAATAATTTATTTTTCTCAGCTTAAGTTTTATTTAGGATATGAAATTTAATCTTAAGAAATGAATTGCTTTAAAATGACTTTGTTTTCAAAAAAGAAAAGACTCCCCACTCAAACTAATAACATTGCAAATAGAAATTAGTTATGTGGGGGAGTTTTTATTTTAAAGGAGAGAATAACATAATAAAAAATGACCAATATTCATTTGACCACTTCTCTGTCTGATGGCTGTGGTGAACTGTATGTTCCTGTGATTCTGGAAGCTGTGCCACTGATATTTCAATTAGAAGTAAAAGGAATAGGCTGATAGCTGCTGAGGGATGAACCGTGGCACACTGTCAGATATAGTGCCAGAAGATGAGCCCCTCAGGTTGGAAGGTATTTACAGTACAAACGGGGAAGAGCTGCCTCATCAATGGAGGAAAGGCCCTTCATTTACTGATGGGGGTATAAAATGAGAAGAACAGCTACGCACATCCATTAGTAATTGGAACATGGAGTATACAAAATATGAATCTAGGAAATCAGAAGTCATAGCGAATTAAATGGAACACATGAAAATCTATATCCTGGGCATGAGTGAACTGAAATGAATTGGTATTGACCATTTTGAATCAGACTACCATAGGTTTACTGTGCTAAGAATGAGAAATCAAGGAGAATTTTGTTGCTTTTGTTGTCAAAAAAGAATATTTCAAGATTTATCTTGAAGTGTAACCCTGCCTGTGATAGGATCATACTAATACATCTACAAGGAAGTCCACTTAATACAACTATTATTCTAATTCATGCACCAACCATTAAAGCTAGTATTGGACGAGTCTTAAATTAATCAAATATGCAGTCAAGATGCATTGATAATTATTGATAATTGGAATGCATAAATTGGAAGTAAGAACAGTAGTGAGAAAATATGACCTTAATAGAAACAAAGTTGGAAATTTAATTATAGGATTTTGTAAGACTAACGTCTTTTTTATTACAAACATCTTCTTTTCAACAACATAAATGCCAACTACCCATGGACTTCACCAGATGGAATACACAAGAATCAAATGGACTATAGCTATGAGACGAGATGACCAAAAAGCCAAACTCACTGCCATTGAGTCAATTCTGACTTATAAACACCTTAAAAAAAGGGTAGAACTGTCCCTATGGATTTCCGAGTCTATAACTCTTTATGGGAGTAAAAAGCCTCATCGTTTCTCTTGGAGAGGCTGGTGGTTTTGAACTGCTGACCTTGTGGTTAGCAGCCCAACTCATAATCACTATGCCATCAAGGAAACCTAATAACACTAGCCAAAAGCGGCCAGGGCCCAACTATGAAACAAACCATCAATTATTTATGTGCACGTTCAGATTGAAGCTGGGGAAAATTAAAACAATCCATGAGAACCAAAATACAACCTTGGATAGAGCTCACCTGAATTTAGAGACCATCTCAAGAACAAATGTGAGAGGAGGAGAGACTGGAGCACATCCTGGCCTACCAGGCCTTGAGGACGATGACCCCAAATAGACCAGCCAGTCCACAGAGAGGACCACATGGCCAGCCCCACTATGAGACGTGATGCCCTTCACTGACCCATGGCCCTGCGGGGGACAACACCAGTGA